GTGTAAATATGTAGATTGTATCTAGAGCTCAGCTACTGCAATTAGGCGAAAAAAATGAAAGATACAAAAAACGAGCAAAGTTGATGTGGAATGTTTTTGCTGAAAAAGCTGCACGCTTAACAACCGAGTCACGCCCTCTGCTTGGGGCACACCCACAGCAAATTGTTCGTCATCGTCGTCGGCTGCAGGTTTCTGTTGGGGTTTGGACCTTCGGCTTGGAAACTCGTCATGGAACCACATGAAAAGGCAGCGCCCGTTGCTGTCATGAATTACAATGTTGAAAATCGCTCATTAGGAGCGAAATTTTGTAAACTGAACGCGATAAAGATCGTCGGACGACGGGCACCAAACGTGCCCCTTCGGCGCCCCCTCACCTCCCTCCCTGTGAGATGTAGTCAAAATGGCGTCCCGCTCCCTGCTCGAAGGCGGCAGACCAATAGCCAAAGCGCAAGCGGAACAATGGAGTCGCAAGAGCGTGTGGAAATAATTTGGTTACAATTAAATAACAAAAGAATTTGTTTGGCAACTCTTGTGCGCATTTTGGCCAACAACTGACTGTTGGCCGTGTGGCGGGCGGGGCGGACAGGTGGCAGCTGGTAACAGCAATGACGGCGGCATTACAAAGCATATGCCCCACCATATCCCGTATCCCGTGACCATTGTCGTCCATTGTCGGCTTGTCCATTGTCCATTGTCCAGCTGCCGCGCTCCAGATTAAGTTCGCGGCGTTTATAATTAAGCAGCGGTCAGCGGCTAAAAAATGACTGAAAAACTGTCTGTTTACCATAACAATAAGGGCGCGGCAGGGAAAACACCTTTTCAGTGCAGCTACCTCGGCTCCCCCGCCCCCCATATACGCTGCGGATCAGGTGTTAATGTCTGTGTTTATGGCCTAAGTGAATAGCCAGACAGGCAGGCCCGAAAAGCGCTGCCGACTTATATGAGGTGCGCAATTATCGTCATTAGTCGACGTCCACGTCCACGTCTACGTCTACCTAAGCGCATGCCCTAGTCTTGCACCCCTGCCCCGGCCGGCCCCGCATCCCCCTCGGCGTCCATGTCGCTGTTCCATTGTTCGCTTTAGTTGCGGCTTGTTGTGTATCGATGTGCATGCTATAATTTGAAAAAATGATTTCTTCATGCCCAGTCACAGTCACAGTCACAGTCACAGTCACAGTCACAGTCACAGTCACAGTCAC